AACGAGTATTTGGGCAGTTTAATCTGAGCAAACGGCTCCCGCTTGTACGATACGTAGTAATTAGCTCTTCCACCAGCAGTCACCTGTAGGAATGAAAAAGAGAAAGAGTGAACCCTCCTTGGAGCACACCCCACTCCACAGGCTAGAAACCATTGCTTTTTACATCACTGGTCAAAGAAGTCTACCAGCCCTATAAGCATTTGTATGGTCCCATCAGTTCACTTCCAGACCTGGAAGATCTGATGTATCATTACATGCATCAAGTTATAGCAGAATCCAATGTCTCCCCTGATTTTAACAACTCATATCAGACAAAAGAGATTTAAACTAGTTCAGGATTAAGGCACCGCACTAGGATGAAGAACGTTGTCTGAGACAGATAGACAATAGACTTATGTCCCTGTGCCTCAATTCTCTCTTTGTAAATAGAAGATAACAGTATGTTTTCCCTCCTACTCTTTGTGTCTCTTGTCTATTCACGCTGTAAACCCTTTGGGCCAGCCATGAATCTGTATAGGATGACTAGCAGAAGTCAATATAGTGCAGCGTCATATACATTTTTCACACGAGGTGTATGCTTCTGCCACCTGAATCCTATGACCTGACCTCTAGGATAGCTTGCATCACTAAAGTATTGGTTCCCTGAAAATCACACTGCCTTTGAAATAGTGTGGTGGAAGGGAAATGATAGTAATTGGAATGACGGGAGTTTATGGACTGTATACTCACTACCTGTCAAGGCTATGTGCAAAGCCCATGCATGGGTAGGAAGCCAGGATCCCCTGCTTTCCAGTGGTATGTGACACTCATTCCTGGCCCTGATCATTTGTGAGATATTGAATTTTAAATCCACAGCTCTTTCTCAAGTCTTTCAGAGAGGGTTCTTTTGGGCACTGTTTCAAGGCTGACTATAACAAGTCTCAGATCTGTGCCTTTTCCATTCTCTGCTGCTTTGGCAAGTTCACAGGTTTTGAGATAATACAATACACAAAACACTTCTTTATTATATGGAATGTCATTTACTGCCGTCTTAAGTTTCCAATAAAGCAAACAGAAAGGACTTTGATTCCCTCACAGATAATTTTATTTTTTTTTTAATCTTTCAGTGATATTTCAGAATGGGCTTAGAAAGTCTCCTGCTGCAGCATCAATTATACTCTCAGCAATGATATTATCTATAGATTGTGGCGTGCTTCTCTAGAGAAGCTGTCATTCAAAGGACACCGTACTCCTGGTCATGATGCACATGAATTTGATATCTGATCAATGCAGGATGAGGCTTTTCTACTGACAGCTTGAAAAGGGGGGTAGGGGATAAGTGTGGAAATAGAGCATGAATTGTAAGTAGAATTCCCCCGCTCCTTTAATTGTTTTGCTATTGTTATTAAAATGTGATTACCACCTAGAGGCCCAAGTAGAGATAGAAGAACAAATATTATGCAAAGCACTGAGCAAAGACACAGTAAGAAAGAGTCCCTGCATCAAACAGCTTAAAGTCCTTAAAGACAAGATGGAGGAAAAAAAATGCAGGTACAGACACATGAAACTACTTGCTCCCGGTCACACAAGGAGAGTGAAGAAGCCAGGATGAGAACGTGGGTTTATTTTCAATCCCACTCTGTGCCCGACAAATTCACAACATAGGAAGTTCCCCATCTCAGGTTCGAACCTCCTGATGGGAGGATGATGGAAGGGCCATGAGAGTTATTTCCTAAGGCACCTCTGTTGTGCTCCTGTCAGCCCACTACAGGAGGTTTATACTGGAGAAAATAGGGCCAGCAGCCACTTAAATCTCAGTTTATGCAGTAAGTGTATGATCAAGCTGTTTCGGCTCTACAGAGCCAACCGCGGCAGCCCTTCTAAGAGTTGCTTAGGCCATATAAGACATGTCCCTTCCCCTCCTTTCTCAGGTTGCTGCGCTCCATCCTGATGGCTGGATCTTCAGTTAGTACAAATCAGAATCTCTTCACTAAACCAGTTTGTCCCAGTTGTGGGTCAGGCCCAAGATCCCAGCTCCCACTGCTCTTTTTGGAGCCCAGAGGAAGCAAGGGAAGCACGCCTCCAGTAACAGAGGGATGACTTATCAAAACTCATGGGTTCAGTCTCCAGATCTTCTCATTGACTTGTCAACCTCAAGCAAGCCCTTAACCTCTCTTTGGCATGGGGGTAAGAATACTTAACATTCCCCACAGGGAAGGGGATTAAAAAATACTTAGGAACAATCAGAAATTCTCAGGGTAATGCTACCCAGGTGGAAAGCATAGAGTGAATATATACCATGTCACTGGTAACCAAGCACGAATGTGGGCTTGAACAACCAGGGGAAGTATTTGCAAGTCTTATATCAGGCTTGTCACCCTAACAAAGATTTAGGATGATCAAAAAGTAGGGCTGGAAGGGAAGACAAGGCCATCTAGCCCAGCCCCCTGCTCAAGGCACGATCGGTCCTGACTAAACCATCCCAGCCAAGTGTCTGTCCAACCTGCTCTTGAACACGCCCAGGGATGGAGAATCCACAATTTCTCTAGGTAACCTGTTCCAATACTTGGCCACCCTCAGAATCAGAAAGTTCCTCCTAATCTCCAACCTCAGTTTCCCCTGCTGCAACTTGAGCTCATTGCTCCTAGTCCTTGTCCCCTGTGGCTAATGGGATGCTAATCTTAGTCAGGATCCGATCTTGGCATGATTTAAACCGACGCTAACAACAGTGCCCCCAAAACGATCAAGCCTTCAGTAGTGTCCATGCATTTCTGGCAAGCTCATTGAAAGGGAATGAATTTTGCAAGACCCAGTTTAATTTATTTTGATGAACTTTTCCTTTTCATAGAAGCAAACTTGCCAGCATTGTAAATCCCAGAGATTATTACAGCATTTTCCCTCCAAAGCCTCCTTTTATTTCATGTTTGATGGATGTCACCCAATTATTTGCTCTGCACTCATCAGTCATGCTCAACACAGAATTAGCTGGGTTTGTCTTTTCCCTCCTCCTTTTGCTAATGACTGGCTCGTTAATCTGATTTCCTGGACTTCTATTTTATGGGTTTAATTGGGCTGCTGGCCAGTGGAAATGATTCCTTTGGACAAATGTGTTTGCCATTCAACACATCTGTCTTTCCTGACTTCTGTTCACTCTTCCTCTTTCCACCTCTTCTTTAATTCCTCTTCACTTTGTTTCAAAAGTAGAGCTCAGCTGCTTGCATTTTTAATTCTTTTGGTTGCTGCATGGGAATAAATCTGTGTTCTCTTGAATATGCTACCCCATGACATATAGTAGCTTGCAGAGCAGCCTAATGGACCTACCACATGCATCAGAAATGGAAGATGATTGAAAGGTTTTCATTAGTGTAGGCAAAGAATTATGCAAAATTTACTACGGAGCCTGCGTGTTCACTGATGTGCAAAGAACAGCGTTGACCGGTCGTTCACCCTAATGCAAGATTGAAGAACACAATTTCTTAGGGTTGTTTTTTTTTTTAGCTTGAGGCACAAGAAATTTTGCTCAACCAAAACCCACCCACGTCATTGGAAAGGGACTCAGGAAATGGAATAAATGGAGCTCTCTTTAGTTTTCATAGAAAGGCACTGAAATGAACTTCCTATTGTGTAAAGCTTCAATAGGATCCAAACCAGAACTGGCCCTCACAGACCACAGGTCCTAACAGGCAATGCTCTCTCTTGCTCTCAGCAGACTGGGTCCTTGAGGTTGGGAACTACATTTTCTAGTAGTTCTCCCTCTTTTTTGACGAAGTGTTGTAAAGCAATATGGCACCATTAGATCTAGGGCACCAACTTGCAAGTTGATTTGTGACCTGCAGGAAGATTTCTGTCTCTCCTCCTGCTGCTCAGATAAGAGTCATGCCAAAGGAACACGGAGACCCATCAGCATGGAAACTATGGATGAAGCAAGGCAGAGGAGGAATCTCAGATGACTTTACCAATGGGTAGCTTTCTGGTAGCCCTACTGTTCTAGACATGAGCTCCCCTCTGCTCAGAGGATCAACCTGAGCTGTTTGATTAGGGGCAGAAATTGCACACAAACCAGTATAAATGATCAGAAAGCAGTTCAAATCTGTAACACAACTGAAGCTCAGTGCACATAAACTTATTTTAAAATACCTGAAACCAGTTTAAGAAAAACCTGGATGGATGTAATATGAGACTTAACTGATTAGGTTAAATTTACTGAACTTCTATCCCAGATCCCCTCCAGATTCAAGTTAACTCACAGTGCCCCAGAAACTTTGCACCTCCCCTGCAAACCCTCCCTTGCAGTGTGGGTGGGCTAGCCTTGGGCCAAGCTGGGCCACTGCAGGCATATGGCTGCATTTCCGGACTCAAAAGTGAATGTCTGTTCACTTGCTTATTGGTTCAATCTATGCAGCTTAGCCTGCAAAGACTGAATTGATTCAGCCTTGGGCTGTTTGACTGCTTGTACTTAACCTTTATGACCAAGGGGCCACCTTCCTCGGACAGAACCCGAACAGAGGTGACCAACTCTTTGCAAATCTGCATACTCTCATAGATGGAGAATTTAAGTACAGCCTCCAGGTAATGGGACAAGGCACTATTCCTCTGACTGAACGTAACTTGTAAATGAGTGTTTTACCAGACACAATAGGTAGAGGTGCACCGACACATCAGTCCAATATTGTTTCGGTACCAATATAGAGAAAACTGGGTGTATTGGATATCAGCCAGATGGAGCCAATAATTTGGCCAATAAATGCTTGCACTGTGCATGGCTGCAGTGCAGGACTCAGGCAGCGAGGAGCAAAGCCCAGCAGCGTGGAGAGCTGCCTCCAGCTGGTAAGTCTGGTGTGGTGGAAGGGGAAGAAGGGGTGGGGGTGCAGATCAACACCCCCTGCAATGAGGGAGGGGGCAGGGGCTGGCCAGGCAGGATGGGGGGGGGCAGAACCACAGCTTATGTGGGGGTGTGGCTGCCACCGC